TGATAAATCTGGTTTTCTACCAGTCCACATCTCATAGGGAATTAATTTATTAAATTTTGTAGGTACTCTATTTAGAGCTTCCCCCCAAAAGATATTACTTAGTGAAGAATGACTTAACATGGATCTAACCATATCAAGTAGAGTCCTATTTCTTCTTTCAGCTACTCCGTTTTGTTAGGGAGTGTACCTAATGGTGAGTTGGTGTTTTATACCATGTTCTCTACAGAATTCATCAAATAAATCAGAAATATACTCACCTCCTCTGTCACTTCTAAGTGTCTTTATCTTTTTTCTTAATTGAGTCTCTACTTCAATTTTATATTCTTTGAATTTGTCTAACACTTTAGATTTTTGTCTTAGAAGATAGATTTGACCAAATCTAAAAAAAAAATATCTATAAATGTAACAAAATATTCCATTCCCCTATGAGTTTTAAATTTAGGGCCCGCATACATCTGAATGCACTATGTCTAATAATTATTCACTTTTCTTACTTTTTCCAAAAGGTAATCTTGTCATTTTTCCTTTCAAACATGGTTCGCAGTGTTTAAAGTTTATATCCATTTTGGAAGAAGACCACTAAATGTCATTCTATGCATTTTATCCCTATTTATGTGTCCTAGACGTAAATGCCATGTGTAAGCATTAGTATCATCACAAGCAAAGGAATAATCAAAAAAGGAAGACGTTTTATTAATAATGAGACGGTACAATCCATCAAGTTTCTCTCCCCTTACAAAGATACGTCCATGTTTCCCAATAATCACTTTTCCTGACCTAAAGCGAACTTCAAATCCTTTTTCATCTAGAAGAGGGGCAGATAAGAGATTTCGCCTCATTGTAGGAGCATATAATACATCATTCAAAATAAAGTTTGTAGAGGCATCTATGGGAATTCTTAATGTCTCTGTTCCCAACACATCACAATAAGTGTTATTCCCCATGAAAATTTTATGTTATCCAGTTTGCATTTCCTTGAAATTCATGAACAATTCCCTATTCTTGGAAACATGGTGAGTCGAGCCTAAATCTATCTACCAGTCTAATTGATTTGAATCAGTCATGAGGGATTCTGAAATAACACAAATAATGTCTAGTTCCAGAAGTTTCATAGTTCTTATTGTTTTTGTTATTATTTTGATAGTTGTTTTTGTTTTGATAATTATTATTTCCTTCTTTCTTGAGCCCCCTACAATTAGGTTTTGTATGTCCAGGTTTTCCACAATTATAACAAGTTACTTTCTTTTTGAAGTTTTTCTGAAAATTAGATTTTTTATGCCACTTGTTCTTCCCTTTAAAATTTCTTTTATACTTTCCTTCTCCTATCGGGTTGTTATCTGTCTTAGTGGTAATAGTATTAGTGTTAGCCATCATAGCTTGATCTGTTTTCTTTTTGTTTTTCCTTTCAGCCTCTAATGCTAATAATGTAGTGAGACTTTTTAAGTTCATATTAGATACAGAAAGGCTTAGGGAAATAAATACTGGTTTCCATGAATTAGGTAAGCAATGCAATAACTACTGCTATCATATTCATGCTATTAATATAATCTACTACAGAATCTTTTTCTTTCATTTTACATGCATAGTATTTCTCAATTATTTCTCAATCAATAATTATACATAAGTTTCAGTAACTTTTCCATAAGTTTCAATAATAACATTGAACATATTTTTAGCATACTTGTATTCTTCAAAAATCAACTCAATATCAGGTTCCATGAATGTAAGCATACTGGATCTAGCAATTTCGTTTTCTTTAAGAAATTTAACATAATTACTATCAAAAAAACATTTTAGGAACATCAGTAGTTAGAATATGTTCTACGTTTTCTCTCTCAAGGATTCTAACAATCCTATGTTTCCACATAAGAGAAATTTGTTCTATTCAATTATTCAGTTTTGCTCAATTCAACAGTAACAGCGGAAGAAGAAGAACCACTCATGATTAAAATTAAATAAATGAAAAATTAGAGGAACTTAGCTTTGTTTATGATTCAACTCCCACTATCCAAATGCTCCGTACTCTAATTCAATACCACCGCAAGTTGTCAAAAGGACAAATGATGCTTACCCACTTTATACCTTGTAAAAAAAAAAAACAACGAACATTTAACAATAATAATAATCGGAACTTGGAAGAATTTATATGATAACAGGATTTATGGCATTAACCGATTCAAAAAAAAAAAAAAAAATCTTGGATCACAAGTTTTCGTGTAACAAACAAGTTAAATATGTGAATAGATCTTAAACAAATTTCACAAAAAAAATGTGAGATCAGAATTTTTAAAACGTTGGAAAAAAGTAAAGCTTAACACATAAAATGTAAAGCTTTTAGATCTTAATCACACACCATCTAAGTTAAGCAAACAAATAAAGTTTGACTTTAATTGTATCTTCAGACGAAAAAGGTAAGGCTTTTAGAAAAAAGGGAACAATACAATTATCAAATCCCAAGCACTAATGAGACAAAAACTCAAATGTACGTAAGAATTGAGTTTCGGTTTTCAAAACAAATACCCAGAAACTCAGATTTCAACTCATTCGATGTATGTTTGTAAAAAGAAATTGAATAAAATTTACTTTTTGTGTGCACGTGTTCTCTTAGATGAATCAGCAAATGACTGTGATTAATGGTAGCACATTTCCCAAAAGAAAAGCTCAGAACGAAAACATCAAGAAAATAAAATATTGATAAAAAAAAAACTTCAGATACATGAAAGCAAATATTCTCTTTTCTATTTTTGTGGAAAAACCACAGAGAAATTACTTCTATGACTAGATCAAATCAAATATTCTCTTTTTAAAAAAAGATATAAAGTACTGTTGCGCATCAGACCGATACAGTACGGGAGGCAGTCACTTTTCACTCCTTTTCCAAAAAGAAGTTGATTATATAGAGAAAGGGGAAACTCTTTTTTTAAGGAGAAGTACAGATACATAGGATGCAGAATTCTCAATTTCTGATCTAGAAAAGATATATTTCATTTGTTTTTTGCTTTTCAACCTGCCATTTGTTCTTGCCCCATTGCGAAAGTGTGTAAAAGACTTATTTGAAAAAACAATTTATTTATATAAAAATAAAATACAATATAATAAAAGAGAAATGATATTATATGTCACATTATATACAAAATGTATATCCGGTGGTCACGGGGTTTGTCCAACACACCAACAACGAGGGCCATAGGCCACTCAGTACGACGCTATGGACCTGCCCTCTGAAACCCAGAGCACGGCATCTCCTCCCCCGCCGGATCTTGTCAAAAAATCCAACGCCGACGATCATTCCGATAGATACATCGGGGGTATATACTCCCCATCCCTCTCATCTCAGATATTCTTAACCTCTTTTTTGCAATAAAAGAAACGCAGAATGGAAGAAGATACAGGTGCTAGCTCTGGTTAGGACTCAAAGGCTTGAAACAACGACAACGATGTCTTTTTGTGTCATCCCCAGAAAGCTCTTTGTCTTGATTATGAAACTTTTAGTTCGACAAGCCAACTGCTTGATTTCCCTTTAAAGCACAGAAACACATCACTTGTTTATGAGGTCTTCAGCGCCAACCCCCTGAGGCCCTGATCACGGAAACGATTGTGCTTTGTCTGGTCCACACAATTTTTATGGTTTTAATTAACGCCATATTCATTCTTCGAATAACCATGGATTTTGCTCTTATCTTTGCACTGCGTATCAGCCCAGCTGGAGACATTCTATGGTTAAACTCAAATCAGTGAATTTAGAGTGGAGTATTGCAGGAGGAAGAGAGAACAGATTCGAGAATACCTATCGGCGATTCTTCCCTTTTGCGTTTTTTCTATTGCAAAAAAGTTAAAAAAAATTAAAACAAAATCATAGCTGAGAATATCTGAGATGAGAGGGATGGAGAATTCTGGTGCATCTACTGGAATGATCGTGGCGTCGGATTTCTTGGCAAGATCCGGCGAAGGAGGAGATGGGGCGGTCTGAGTTTCAGAGGGCAGGTCGAAAGGAGTGAAATTCACTTTTTTGGGCGAAATCACTGAAATGGGAGCCAACGGCCGTCCCATTAGCTCCGCACGAGGTTGAGGCGCTTGCGTGTGGGAGGACACGCAGCGTTTTTAATGAGGGCAACGTCATTGGCTTATTGCATTGCAGTCGTCTATACATGTAAAGAGTGTGGGTAAGAAAAGTAATTAAGAAATCTGGGCTCGTAAAGATGTTCCTTATTACAAACAAACAAAATGAATACAAACACAAACATTAACGCGTAGCCGAAAGAAGTTTGTACTTTGCAGTCGTCCTAAGTACATTTTTGCATTTACAAGTGATGAAGGAAAATTTGGCCCGATCTCGCAATCACCCGACACGTGGTAAAAGCAAACAACTTGGGACAGCAGAGTGCGTAAAACGAGTACCGAAAGTAACGAAGTCCAAGCTCACTATCGAGCCCGAACTCCACCAGACCGCTCTACTAAGAGTCCGAGCTCCCTATTAAGAGTCCGAGCTCCCTATTAAGAACCCGAGCTCCCTGCAAGGAGCACGAACTACCTCGGGTCCCAAGCCTCGCAAAGCTGTGACCCGAGCTGACCCATGGCAGTTCGGAACACTCCCCAAACCGAGCTCAAGACATCTCGCTTGCCACTCCAGCACTTCGCTTCCGAAACACCAGGCTGACCAAACGTACCTGACACCAAGGACGTCCGTATTCAAGGGCGGCGCACCTGACTGATTTGGGATCTGACGCTTGATAGCCGCACTTCAAACGGCCTGCTACCGCCACCTGCCACCATCGTTACTAGCCGCAGAGACGGCTCCAACAAAAGGAGCAGCGGCGGTTCTATCCGGCCAGAGGAAATGACATCCAAACTGGCAGGAGCTCAGAAATAATCATGCCCGATCTGACAGAAGCCTGGAAGTGAGTGCGCGAGGTGGTTATAAAAGGCTCCTATCCCACAAGAACGAGGTATGCTAATTTTTGCGCTATCTGGCTTATCTTGCCTTTGAAAAGATTCTAACTTGAGTTTCGGAGCCCTTACGCCAGGTTCTCCCCGGAGCTTCTTCACTCCCTCCGTTTCAGGTCCCCTGCCACTCAATTCAGAAACAAGATCGTTAACGGCTAAGACCGGCCGGATTGTGCATCATCAACAAGGATGTAAAAAAGTTCTGGCATTGCAAATAAATGCAATGCAGCGTTTAGCTAAAAAACCGTGAGTCCAGTGGTTTATCTGAAGTGCAAATATAAATCAGGAGCAATATATCCACAATATTTACTTGCACAAGTATGTCAAAGAACATTTTCGTTTGTTTTGCAAGAAACTCTTCTATTCTGCCCAAATGAATTTACTTTCAAAAACATTTTCGTGTCGAATTCGCTCCGTTCTCAGAACGTCATATTTCGCTCAAACATCTCAATTACTACATTTCTCCAAGAAAGTTGAATCAGACTTCGAGAAATCAACAGAGGGCCTTTTTCGATGCTCAGCGAACTACGTTCCTCTTTCTCCTATAAGCTTCTTAGAGCGAGCAGCACGTGTTTATGGAGAGAGAACATCTGTTGTTTATGGGGGTGTCCGGTTTACATGGAGAAAAACGCTAGAACGATGTGTCAGGCTTGCTTCTGCTCTGACCCAGAAGGGGATTTCCCGAGGGGACGTCGTAAGTTAAAGCTTTTGTTCGTTTCTTGTATCCTTGTCTTCTGGGCTTCTCTTTGTTTTTGCATCTTTTTATTCTGCGATGAATTACTTGAACTATTTCCCTGATTTTATCTTCTGGGTTGTTGTTTAGTTCTGTTTTTCTTTCTTGGGTTTCAATTTAAATATACGATTGACTCTTATGTTTTTTATTAAGTAGGATACTTTTGAACTTTAGTTTGTTTTGCATGCAGTGTGTTTTATGGACTATGTTTCCCGTTCCCCCTTTGTTCATTGTTGTCTGGTTTTTCTTCTTTTAGTCTTAAAATATTCTGTCCGATTAAACCCCCTTTTCTTGATCATCCTGCTTGATGTTTCTGTTTGTATTTCATTTGTTAGTCTTTGATGAATCTCTATTAACTTAAAGGCAGATTTTAATTGAACTCTTAGCTACTTATAAATAGCTTCACCAGAACCAGAAAACTGTTAAAGAAATCGGTGAATCAGCATGCAAAGTTTGTATTTCATTGAATACTTTTCTTGCTCATCCTGTTTGATGTTTCAGTTTCTATTTCATTTGTTAGTCTTTGACGAATCTCTATGAACTTAAACGCAGATTTAATTGAATATTTAGCTACTCATAAATAGCTTCATTGGAACCAGAAAATTCTTAGGTGAATCAGCATACAAAGTTTGTATTTCATTGAATACTTTTCTTGCTCATCCTGTTCGATGTTTCAGTTTGTATTTCATTTGTTAGTCTTTAACGAATCTCTCTTAACTTAAACGCAGATTTTAATTGAATACTTAGCTATTTATAAATAGCTTCATCATAACCAGAAGGTTGTTAAGAAATCGGTCACTCAGCATATGCAAAAGTTGTTCCTTTTATAATTATTGAGTTTTGGTTGTTCATTTCCCAGATTCCTTTTGAGCTCCTAGTGTAAAATGTGTTTTATTTAGTTGGCTTAACATCATTTGATTAGACTCTAGGTTTGTTCTTCCTGTAGAAGGATGATAAATTTTGCTAATGTGCATCAGATAACAATGCAATAGGGATAAAGCATCACAGTTCCATATCCAATTCCTTGGAAATTGGAGTGGTTGGCACACTGTTTTAGGATTGGCTGAGCTTATCCTGTTTATGGGAGAAAAACAATTCGGAAAAACAGAGGTTTGTCTTGTATTTAAATCTTGGCCTCATTTATGCTCTTGTCAATGCATTTGTCTTTAGTGTCCATCAAATGTATTGGCAATTATACAAGAGGGACCTGGAGGTTCAAAACAAGCAAACAATTGCTAGAAATGTAAGATCAGTTCAGCTTTGTTAATTTGAACATGTCGCACATTAGGAAATTAATAGGCTTCTTACCTTGGAGAATCAATTGCAATGATCTAGCTATGCCAACTCAACTATCAAAGCTGTGCTGTTATAGATTATATAGAAGGATTAGATGGGACTACAGTTGCTACAGCAGCATCCAGAAGGTACTGTTGGAAACAATATATTTTGTAATGTTGTTCACAGTGGAGACAACAGAGAGAATGGAAAAATCGAATGCAAGTAAAAGAAGAAAAGATCGTCTGTTAACAACGAATGAGAAGCATGTTTGTGGCATTCACCTTGACCAACCAATCTAAAATGAGCTAAACCAAACAGATTCTTTTTTAGGGTAAATCTCTTAAACTACCCCTACTGTTTGTTTAATTGACCAAGTATACCCTTACTGTTTAACTTTTGTCTGATGCTACCCCTACTATTTCTGACAATTGGCTAGCTATACCACTACTGTTAACATACGTTAATGCTCGATCCCACGTAACCTATTAAAATTTTTTAAAACTCAATATTACTCTCATCCCGTTCATCTCAACACCAGAAAACCTTCTTTGGTCGTTGAAGTTCTCAGACCTCCCTCTCCCCCTCTGTTCTCTCTCTCCCATCATCAAAATGGTGGCAGAAAAATGATGTTCAAGCCACCCTCCCGTCATTTCAAAACCTCCATTGGGCTCAAACAGAACGCCAATCCCAAAACATTTCAGTTGTGCTATGGAGTTTCTCTCCGTCGAACTGGCAGTGTCGTCATCAGGTGTTTCCATCGACTTTGGGAGGCATCCGATGAGTACCAACTCGTCGAAGGAGAAACTTCGTAGTCTTCGTAGTTTTTGCCTTCATTTATGCCCTTTGACGGCGACATTCCTCGACCCCTCACCTGGCATGGCCAACAACTGCATGTAGTGGTGGTGGTTTTAGTAGCAGCAGTAGCAGTAGAGGAGAACCAGGAGGATGAGATCGGAGAGGACGATGAGGAGGAAATTGAAACTCTAGATTGATGTTCATCGTTGGCTTCGTGTATATGCTCTTTCGATCTGGAGGTGAAAAGGGAGGCGAGCAGAGAGAACTTGTTGTATTTCTTCTTACGACCATGTGCGGTGGTGTTTGAGGTGGGACCCACTTTATGAGTACTGTAAAATTGTTGATCGAACTGATTGTGGTGCCAGGAGGAATCGTCCGAGTGGCAGCAAATGTAAGGACAGATGGAGTGGGGAAAGATCAACGGCGGTGGATGTGAATCAGATTTCCGACGTTCTTCGGCTTGGGTTTGGACTTGAGTGGCGATGAGAGCGAAAAGGCGCTCACGGAGACAAGAAGCGTAGATGCCAACACTACTGCTGAGGTCGGAGAGATGCTTCTTGATGATGCGCATTTTGGCAGCTCCCGGCTGGCTAGTGACTCAAATGCCTGGTAATCCCTACCTGGAAGGTGGCTTGGACGTCTAGCTGAATGGTGACGAGCTGGAGAGGTGGCTCTGATGCCTAGCTGAATGGTGATGAGCTGGAGAGGTGGCTTTGATGCCTAACTGAGTGGTGACGAGCTGGAGAGGTGGAGCCTAACTGAGTGGTGACGAGCTAGAGAGGTGGCTCTAATGCCTAGCTAAATGATGACAAGCTGGAGAGGTGGCTCTGATGCCTAGCTAAATGGAGACGAGCTGGAGAGGTGGCTTTGATGCCTAATTGAATGGTGACAAGTTGGAGAGGTGGCTCTGATGCCTAACTAAGTAGTGACGAGCTGGGGAGGTGGCTCTGATGCCTAGCTGAATGGTGACGAGCTAGAGAGGTGGCTTTGATGCCTAATTGAGTGGTGACGAGCTGGAGAAGTGGCTTTGATGCCTAACTGAGTGGTGACGAGCTGGAGAGGTGGCGCTAATGCCTAGCTAAATAGTGACAAGCTGGAGAGGTGGCTCTGATGCCTAGCTAAATGGTGACGAGCTGGAGAGGTGGCTTTGATGCCTAATTGAATGGTGACGAGCTGAAGAGGTGGCTCTGATGCCTAGCTGAATGGTGACGGGCTGAAGAAGTGGCTCTGATGCCTAGCTGAATGGTGACGAGTTGGAGAGGTGGCTCTGATGCCTAGTTGAATGGTGACGAGCTGGAGAGGTGACCCTAATGCCTAGCTGAATGGTGATGAGCTGGAGAGGTGGCTCTGATGCGACTTGCAAGGAAACAATGTTAGAGTGCCTGGGTTGCTTTACCCGGGGTGGGCACTCCGATGCTTAAGTTAGCGAATCAGAGATTTTAAGATAGCTAAATGTGAGAGAGTTGGAGAGCTGCAAGAACTAAAAATTGCACATCTACCTAGGTCTCAGGGGTTGATGCCCTTATATAGTTGGGCTGCCGTGGGTCTCGTGAAACGCTCCCAGAATCCTCGACCCACGACGTAGAGGTCCATTCCGCTTTGGAAGGAGGATAACGTGCCAGTTAATAAGGCTTACCGTTTCCCTCCGATTCGGGCGGGATGAGGATAAGGCCTACGGTTACGCGGCGTGATCCCGAAAGGAGACAACTGGCAAACTTCTAGAATGGTAGGTCGCCAGGTGGGCGATAGAGGCAGATCACTAGGTTGCCAAGTCGGCGACAGAGGCAGGTTGTCAGGTCGGCAGCAGAGGAAGGTCGCCAGGTCGGCGATAGAAGTAGATCGCCAAGTCGACGACAGAGGCAGGTCTCTAGGTCAGTGGCAGAAGTAGGTCGCTAGGTCGGCAGTAGAGGCAGGTCGCCAGGTTGGCAGCAGAAGTAGGTCACCAGGTCGGCGATAGAGGCAGGTCGCCAGTAGGGACCCCATTTTGGCTAAGGCAAGTTGTCGCCTAGGTGATGCTGAGATGTAGTCCAGCTGTTCTGATATGCCATGTGTCATGATGTCAGTGGAGGGCCAAATCTGCCCTCATCACTTCTTACACCTCATTTACCCAATTTGCATTGTTACCTCTCTCTCTTTCTTTTGTCTGCTAGTGCCATGTTCTATTCTTATGGCTAAATTTGTTTTGATCATCGTTCACATAAACCCAGTAAAGGAGGAATACAATTTTTTAGGTTGCCAACACACAAGAAGATCTTGATGACACAACAACGAAAAGTGCAAACGATCCATCTGGGAGGGAAGAAACACTGTGGAGGGTTGTTCCTCATGAAGGTTTTCCGAAAGATCGATTGCAGTGGTCCAAGTTGCAGTATTCATGCATGTTGAAGAAGTTGAAAGACTGTATTACTCGGTAGTGAAGGACCCTTATTTCACCGTCCCTACCACCATCATGGAAACTTATTTGACCATCCCCGTCAGATGGCCCTTAATGGAGCCACCAGAGAGTTCTCTTCACTGCTAAGTGGAGGTCATCAGATCAGAGTCGGCCCTGTTTTGTTTCCCCATCACTCGATCCCTGTTTTGTTCCCCTCACTAGAAACGGACATATCTACACACCTGTACCTTCCAAGCAACACCCACCAATAAAAATGTTGGACCGAGTGGCCTATGGCCCTCGATATATATCATCCTCGACGTGTAGGACTATCTGTAGGCCAACGGGAATAACCACACAATCGATGGAGTATTTGCTCTATGTGGACCAGCATGCACACACAATCAACACATCTTTTGCAATTATTATTATTATTATTTATTATTTTCCTATAAAATAAAATATGTTTTGACTTATCTCTTTTAAACTTGGTCCACTAGAGTAGTTGTTGGTT